GTGCCTTTACAGCTTGTACTTCAGATACTCTGCTAAAAAAAATCTGTTCGGTTTTGGTTACGATTACCATGTCTATCATGCTGAAATCATGCGTTTTAAAGCCATATCAATTTAAACTTCTGATAAAGGGTTTTCTGAGCACACACATCCGAAGCAAACGCCCAGAAAGCGTCTGTCACACGGCATGTGTGTACTAAACTAAGTTCTCTTTCACGTCTTATTACCCTTAAACTGTGAAATGCACACAAGTTAATGTTAAAAACACAAAGGAGTTACAAAAACAGTCAGTTATATCTGTGAAGGTAAACAGCTGGGAAAGAAATTGCATGTTTATATTAGATCTGCGTGGCAGCAGTGAAATATACAGTAAATAAATTAATAAATCTTCTGCTCTCTTGTCTCCTCTGAGGCTGGGACTCTAATAGTGTTCTGTGCTCATCAGTGCAGCCAAAGACAGAACAGATAACATGCTTTGCTCGAACTTTCGCCATAGTGTTAGAGCTGGTACACCGTTGACGCTTGCGAAAACAAAATGGCAGCACCGTGGGTGGAAACGTGCAGATTAAGGGGCGGTAATATTATAATAAGATCCCCTTTCTACATCACGGGGGGACCGAAATCTGATGCTCTAATTTTTTATTCACAAGCTTGCAGGGAAAGGCTTACCAAAAAAAAAATGATTTCTGGGTTGGTAGATGCACTGGGGACCCGATTATAGCACGTAAACACGGAAAAAAAGTCTAATTTTCATGATATGTCACCTTTAAGGTGATTCTTGAAGTGTAATTACACAAATAAGGACTGAGAATTATTAATTAACTACATGTACTTAAGATTAGGGTTTGGTTTAGTGTTAGTTACGTATGCATAATTTACTTATTACTATACCCGGACAGCACACGTACGTCTGGCCGACGTCGGCCCAAGATTCCCGCCTCCTCACTAAGATGAAAGTTTTTGTCTTTTCCTCGCTTACAGTTGCTCTCAGATTGGTCCCGAATAGCTCTTAAGCTAAGACTCCTACGCTCTATATATATATATATATATATATATATGTTTTTGTTATTTTTAACAATGTTTATTTATTTATTTAACATAATAGTAAATCAACTAGTGTATTTAAATGCCAGTACTCATTTTTCCTCCAGTTTATTTAAAATTAAATTACATTTTAACATATTTAAATCTCTGTAACATTATTTAGTAAAATCAAATTTAAAATCCACATTATGGTGGTATTTGCTATACAAAAAAACAAACAAAAAAACTTGGATTTTCTTCACTGTATTACAGTAATGAGGATTTGATTGTAAAATATGCTTAATATTCATTAAAAACAATGGCATACTCTTAACAGTCACAGGCCTCCTTTTATACATGAATTCAAATTTCTTATCCTAAATTTCTCTTTTCAAAGTTGTCCATGTGATTCACCGTGCTTTTTGCATCGCCATGCTATATAGACAGAATGACAAGAATCCAATATAAAGTCTGCACAAAAAAAAAAATCGTGCCATACTCCATCATAATATACCATAAAAGCACAGTAAAGTTGATGTGAGCAGTTCAGCTGCGCTTCCACGCTGCTCATCAGGTGGACCTCGAATTTTTCAGATCCGAGTCCTTTCAAAACCTGAATGAATTAATAATAATTAATTCCCTACAATTAAGTAATCAAAGTCATTACAATATATATGTATATATATATATATATATATATACACACACACACATAGGCTATACTCTCTCTTTGTGTATTTGAGCGTCACACAGATCCGTCCTGTCATTGTTAAGATGAAGACAGGCTCGCAAACAGTCCTAAGTGCCTTATTTCCACTACTGTCGTGAACACAGCGCCTGTATGCTCGACGCAGCTGAGCAAGCCATTATTTTCATTTAGCTGAGATCTGAAAGACTCCCTTCTGCAAAAACTCGCTTCGCTTTGTACTCAAGACTCTTTCGCGCAGCTTTCCCGCGCTCACACAAGCGCGCGTAAACCCACAGTTCACAGCGTGTCTGTCAGAGCGGAAGCTTCATTTGTATTCCGCGCGACTCTCGCCAGGTAAGTAATGACAAGCAGCAAAGGCCAGCGTGTCACAGCTCCTCTCAGCTGACGTCAGGCTTTCACACGCCTGTAGGCTCTGGCGCAGATGAGGCCGCTTCATCCCTCTAATGAGCTGCTGTTTGCCTGTCAGGACTGTACATTATCTCCGGTGTCCTCCGGCCGGGTTCAGGTAATAGTCACGGGTCTCCGTAACGCGCGCGGATTCCGGCGCACGATTTCCTGCTTTCATTTGCATTTGAAAAGCCGTATCCTCGCGTGGGATTAAGCATAATGAGAGTCGTGAATACAAAGATGAAGAAAAATGCAATGAAATGGTTCATTGTTGTGGCGACAAGGAGAGTTTGATGCGGCTGCAGTGAGCATGGCCTTGGTTCCGCCAGAGCTTTTTGTTTTTTTCTCATTCATTTTATGCTTACACATAAATAAATAATAAAAACGGAGCCAAACCAACTAGCTCAGAGATGAATCATTACATAAAAAAGGGATTTTAAAATGTTTACATTAAACAAACTATTTAACTCCAAAAAACACTGCAAATAAAATTACTACTTTTAAAGTCATTAATAATAAAATACAATATTCTAAAATACATTTCCAGGTTAAAAAAATTATATGATAATATAAATTATTTCAATTAGAATTCCTATAGAAATGATATAAAATGAATTCAAATAATACGTATGTTCAGAAAAATTGTATGTTGTGAAAGCAGATGCTATTATGATGCACTATAAATTTTAATATATAAAATATAGTTAGGCCTACATAAAATTAATACATATACATTATAAATAAAATATTAAAGGGGTCATATGATGCGATTTCAAGTTTTCCTTTCTCTTTGGAGTGTTACAAGCTGTTCGTGCATATATAAGATCCGTAAAGTTGCAAAGACTGAAGTCGCAAACCCAAAGAGATATTCTTTCTAAAAGTTAAGACTCGTCCACGCCTTTCTAAAATGCCTCATTTCAACACTCCCCCACAAATCTACATCACTGTGTTGGAAGATTTGAATAACACCACCCAAATGTTTATGCAAAGAAAGAAGGCGTAACTTTTATTCTCGCTGTAGTATTGTTGCCGCCACCGCCTTGTCATGGAGATGCTGTGTGTTTCCAAATATGGTAAGGGGCGTGACATTTCTGTCAGACACCTGAGGTATTCAGCCAGTCACAATGCACTGGATAAGCTGGCCAATCAGAGCACACCTCGCTTTTCAGAACGATGAGCTTTGTAGAGAGGAGCAACAATAATGCATGGCATGGTAACCTTAAAACCGCGTAAAAGCATTGCATTACACCAAATACACAAAATAATGTTATTTTTTTAGCATTGTCATATGATCCCTTTAATTTTGAATATAAAATAATGAATACAAACATTATTTATACTGAATGTTATAATGAATTTACAATGAATTAGTTTTACGATTTCCTTGGTAAAATTGACTTCTTTGATTGGCATTGCTGTCATTGTTGACAAACTGAAAATGATTAAAAATCATTCTCTGGATCGAATGAATGGGACTTCCAGAAGCTGACTGTTGTGCTCCATAGCATGTTTATCAAGGCATAAAACAACATCCTGTGTGTTCTTAGAAACATAATTAAAAGGTCTTAACATATAGAAATGTTTTGGTATCAGATCCCATCATGGTATCTGCCGTGAGTACATGCTCAAATCAGCTTGCTCTATTATTTAGGTAATTGCTTTTCAGTACCGGTACTGAGGAGAAAAAAGCTGAGCCATTCGTCTCATATGCAGATAATGAGCAAATGTCCTTATGCTAATGAAATGTCTTTTAAAAGATTGTTGTGGGACATTGATTCTGATCATTAACTGTGCTATTAATACCTATTTGCCCTTCCGTTCCTCGAGATGGCAACCCTCTCCCTGTGATGAAATATAATTTTTCATTTCTTCAGGAAGGGATGAAAAATGGATGATCTTAGAGGTACAAAAGCCGGAGTCTAGATTGCCTGCAGCTTGCAAACAGGTATTACAAAATAGAGCCATTACGGCAACATCAGCCAGCAAATGGATTTGAAATTGAGTGGAAAACCATGCATGCGGAGGGTTAGACTCTTAGCTGCCTTGAAGGGAATTATAGCGAGTAAAATATTCATGCCCCAAAAAAGGGCAAAAGTAAATGAAAGAAGGGGTGACACTTAGACCAATACGCTTTCAATTGCCTAGACTAAAAAGACACAAATCAGGTTTTCCTGAAGAAAAAAGTGCCTACAAGTAAAATATCTGTATTAATGCTGCTCCAGGAGTTCATTTTTCCTTCACTTTATTGTGCAAGATTCAATCCCACACAGAAAGTGATTCATAATACAAAAAAAAACTTTGTCATGTGGGTCAACCAACATTCAGAAACATGCAAGAAACTAAAACAGAAGATGAAACAAGAAAACAAAAACATAATGCAAAAAACAAACAAAAAAACAACAACATGAAACAACAATGTAAAACAAAAACACAATACAAAACAAAAACACAATACAAAACAAAACACAACTAAACAAAAAAATTATAATTTTATTTGATGTCTGATCACAAATCCTACAACATCTCTGTCAAATTTGGGAGTAATTAGCAAATACTACATGTTTTATTTTTTATTTATTATTATTATTATTTTAATGTAACAAGCTCAGAAAAGGAAATGCTACCTCAGCATGAACACTAAAATAAAAATCAATTAAATAAATAAATAAAAGGGAACTGAATATAATATCACTGATACAAATTAATATTAGTGAACATATCTGATTTGTGAACTAGATCAACTGCAATGTTCCTCTAAAAATAAAAGAACTTGCTCAAAATAACTATCACAAATGGGAAGCAACCATTTCAGGGCCATTTCATTGTCGTTGTATGGAAAAGCTGCAACATTTTTCAAAATTTCAAATTTTTGTCTTTCACAGACAAAATGCGAGCTTTTGTGTTTAGAATGAGATGAGGGCGAAAAAAAGAAAAAACAAAAAAAACAAACAGATTTTCGATTCTCTGTGAGATATCGAGTAAAATCAATGAGTGACAACGGCACATAAGTACTTGAAACCGATGCACGTTGTAAAACAAGCATTACCTTTTCTGCAGATTGTGCCGTCCCAAAGAAAATGGGAATGAAGGCGAGCCACACAATGCAGGTGGTGTACATGGTGAAGCCGATGGGTTTGGCTTCGTTGAAGTTCTCCGGAACGCCTCGCGTCTTGATGGCGTAAACCGTACATGTTACCATCAGCAAGATGCTGTATCCTAGAGAGCAAATGATTTGAAGGTCCGTAATGTCACACTTGAGAACCCCTCGGGCCTTGTCGGGGTTTATGGTCTTCTGCTCGTCGTAATCGATTATGGTGTTCGGAGGATCCACTCCGAACCATATGAGGACCCCTAAGAGCTGGACGGAGATGAGGCTGGAGGTGATGGCTAACTGAGACGTCGGGCTGATCAGTTTAGGTGGAGAAACCGACTTCTTCCCTTCCTCGAAGATGCGGTAAATTCGATTGGTCTTAGTGAGGAGCGCAGCATAGCTAATACACATTCCTAACCCAAGGAAGATTCGTCTGAAGGAGCAAACGGCAATGTCCGGAGTGGCGATCATTACAAACGTGATGATATAACACAAGAATATCCCTGTCAGCAGAACGTAGCTGAGCTCCCTCCCAGACGCTCGTACGATCGGGGTGTCATTGTAGCGGATGAACGTCGCCATAACAAAGATGGTGGCAATGATGCCGAGCATAGCGAGGAAGACAGGAATGACAGCCCAGGGTGAATGCCACTCCAGCTTGACGATCGGGATGGGCTGGCACCCTGTCCGGTTGCCGTTCGGACGCATGTTGTAAGTGCAGAGTTTGCAGGACGTCTCGTCATACTGGTACTGGTAGCCGTCGCAGGGCTCGCAGTGCCAGCAGCACGGCATGCCTTTCACCATCTTCTTGCGTTGACCCGTCTTACAGGGCAGACTGCAGACCGAGCTGGGTATTTCCATCTCACCGTTGGGCCACTGCATCTCATCGATCTACAAAGAAATGGACACAAAACAGCATTTGGGTTAGTGACAATGACATATTTTTTTCTCTCTACTATATTTTTTACAAAAATACATAAATACAATTCGTTGATTATATGCACTGGCTTAAATACACCACTCTAATAATGAGTTTGACATTTCTGAATTTAAATTGAATTTGATGTTTTTTGGTGAGTATGGGTGAAAAAATGTCAGTAGAATAGATCTGTTCTTATAGGACAATGAAGGAAAAAATTTAAATGTAATTCTTGAAAAGAAATCCTTATAAAAATAAATACATGAATAAAAATTTATGAAAATACATTTTTTTTAAAATATTTGAACAAAACTGCTTCACTGCATATATATATATATATATATATATATAAAGTGGTTCAACCAACATTAAGAAACACACAAGGAACAAAACGAAACAAACTAAAGCAGAACACTAAAAACTAGAACAGCACAACATATAACACATCACACACACACACACACAAACAAAAACACAGCAACATAAAACACAAAGAACAAAAAGCCCAAACTCAACATGAAACAACAAAAATAAAACAAAACACCACAAAACAACATGACACAAGAACAAACAAATAAATAAATACACAACAAAAATACAATATAACAAAACAATAATAAACAAATCAACACAAAACACATCAAAACAACAATACAAAACAAAAAAACAGCACACACAAAACAAAAAACAAAATCAAACTTCTTATATTAACTAACGTACTCTACGATTAGCTCAGTGAATAATTTAAAAAAAAACATATACCCGGCTAGAACAAGTGGAGTGATACAAAATTGTGAATGGGCGTTCCTGTAGCGATACCAGTACAACAACATAAAACACAAAGAACAAAAAGCCCAAACTCAACATGAAACAACAAAAATAAAACAAAACACCACAAAACAACATGACACAAGAACAAACAAATAAATAAATACACAACAAAAATACAATATAACAAAACAATAATAAACAAATCAACACAAAACACATCAAAACAACAATACAAAACAAAAAAACAGCACACACAAAACAAAAAACAAAATCAAACCGAAACAAAAACACAACATAAAACAAAAGAACAAAAAAACTACAACAAGAAACAACAAAATAAAACAAAAACACACTAGAAAACAACAATACCACACAAGAACACAATACAAAAAATACAATAGAACAAAACAAAACAAAACATGAAACAACAAAATAAAACAAAAACACACAAAACACATCAAAACAACAATACCAAAATAAAACAGACAAAAAACCAAACAAAAAAACACAATAAACAAAGCACTGCAAAACAACAAAAATACAACAGAGCAACAAAAAACACAACACACAAACCAAAACAACACTATAAAAACAAAGAACACAAAACAAGAACACATACACAAAACTCACTCACACATACACACACACACAAACACAAACTAACAAATAAAACAGGAAATGACATCAGAGAGGACCTCAGCAGATTCTCATGACTGTGTGTCAAGGTCAGTTAGTCTTTTAAAATATATTTGACTGGTTGTGCATTTCAAAGTCATGTAAAGCTCTGGAGTATTCAAGAATCTATATTGCAATTTTAAAAGAAATTGTTTAAGAACAACACAACCAACATGCCCCTGTTTTTTACGTTAACAAGTTAATTATGTGCACCCATGAAAGGGCGTAAACGCTTTTAAGTATGATCATAGGGAAGAAAAGAAAAATGCATTATTTTGAGCCTGCTTATTGCTTTCCGTCCACTCCCTTATACCTCCGTTAATATGCACTTTGAATTTCACGCCTTTCATTCAAACATTGCTGATTGCAGCGTGATTACCAGTGATTTATTTTAGCCCTTCGTGGCAACAATCACCATGGAGACGGCCACATTTTAATGAAAACAGGCAATAAGAAGGTGGTGAGAGAAATGCGGGAAATGGCTCTTTTTGGAATGCGTGAATAAATCACATCACATAATAAAAGAGCACTGAAGAACAGTTTTAATCACTTATAACTTCACAATGATTACAGGTTTGGATTTAGTGGAGAAATAAATCAGCATTTGCTTTCACCAAGAGGCCTGGATAAAAATTCAGAATTTAAATAATACACAGAAGGACTAGAGAAACGTGTTAATTTAAAGAAATAATTCATTCATATCATTTGTTCATTTGTTTTTTTAATATAATATTGAAAGTAGAAAAATGAAAAAAAAAAAAAACTGCCGCCCAAGTAATTCCCGCCCAAGTGTAGAGATCGAATATTCAAGCTGTTTATAAATTTTTCTACCCCTGAACGAAAAACAAAAAATTAAGCTGAATTCTCGTTTTTCGTTTTTTGGAAAAAAACCTGCACGACTTCACTGAGCAACGAAACCGGAAACGCACCTAAGTATTAGGTTTATCTTCCCTTTACACACTCTCCTTTTCTGTCCTCTCTTTTCCACCTCTATCATGCGTTTCCAAAACATTCCGGTTGTCTCTCGACAACGCTCTAACGTCACACGCAGACGGCAAAGAAATCTAGCTAACCTGCATCCTATCTCTACACACCATGGAGACGGCCACATTTTAATGAAAACAGGCAATAAGAAGGTGGTGAGAGAAATGCGGGAAATGGCTCTTTTTGGAATGCGTGAATAAATCACATCACATAATAAAAGAGCACTGAAGAACAGTTTTAATCACTTATAACTTCACAATGATTACAGGTTTGGATTTAGTGGAGAAATAAATCAGCATTTGCTTTCACCAAGAGGCCTGGATAAAAATTCAGAATTTAAATAATACACAGAAGGACTAGAGAAACGTGTTAATTTAAAGAAATAATTCATTCATATCATTTGTTCATTTGTTTTTTTAATATAATATTGAAAGTAGAAAAATGAAAAAAAAAAAAAACTGCCGCCCAAGTAATTCCCGCCCAAGTGTAGAGATCGAATATTCAAGCTGTTTATAAATTTTTCTACCCCTGAACGAAAAACAAAAAATTAAGCTGAATTCTCGTTTTTCGTTTTTTGGAAAAAAACCTGCACGACTTCACTGAGCAACGAAACCGGAAACGCACCTAAGTATTAGGTTTATCTTCCCTTTACACACTCTCCTTTTCTGTCCTCTCTTTTCCACCTCTATCATGCGTTTCCAAAACATTCCGGTTGTCCCTCGACAACGCTCTAACATCACACACAGACGGCAACGCAATCGTGCTAACCTGCATCCTGTGTCTACATCCTCTACTGCACCTCTTTCTTTCTCTGTGGGTCTCTGGAATTGTCAGTCAGCTGTCAACAAAGCAGACTTCATTTCTGCTTTTTTTTTTACAATCCACACTCAGCATCTTGGGCTTGACTGAGACCTGGATTCGTCCAAAAGACTCAGCAACCCCAGCTGCTCTATCTAACAATTTCTCTTTCTCTCACACCCCCCTTCAGGTTGGCCGGGGTGGGCGTACTGGTCTTCTCATTTCTAACAATTGGAAATACTCAACCCACACTCCCCTATGCAATTATAACTCATTTGAATCTCATTCGATTACTGTAACAGCTCCTATAAAACTCCAGGTTGTGGTAATTTACCGCCCTCCTGGCCATATTCTAGGCACCTTCCTAGAGGAGCTGGATGGGCTGCTGTCCTCATTCCCGGAGGATGGCAGTCCACTTTTAGTCTTTGGCGACTTCAACATTCATCAAGCCTTATGCTACAGACTTCCATTCACTCCTTGCTTCATTTGATCTTAAATGCCTTACCACTACAAGCACGCACAAATCAGGCAACCAACTTGACTTAATTTACACACGCAATTGTATTGCAGACAACATTTTGGTAAAACC